CCAATCCTCCTTCTCCTCTCCTTCTGCTCTCACGGTTTCCCTTCGGATCCGCGAAGTCGGACCGAATTTCTGATCTTATAACGGTAATTGGGTAATGAGTTGGCAAACTAAGTAGACATACCTCCGGGCCAAGTCTCTCAGTCTGTGCACGGTCGCGGGAAAGGGAGGAGGAGAGCACGGGCGCGGAATCAAACCTCGGAGTTTAGATACGAATTGCTAGTATGCGCCGCGCCGATTCCTCGCGCGAACCACCTCGGAGAGAACCACCGGCTGGACTTCCATCCTCCCATCCTCTCTTTCTCTTCCGCGGCGTTTCCGTTTGCGCTAGTTAGCAGAGAAGCGGTACGTTCGCTTACGAAAGCAAACTTCCAGCCGAGGGGAAGAACGTCTGCGGGACTTGCGCGCGGTCCCGGATCTCAGAGAAAGACGAAACGGGCGTGTTGGAAGGGTTGGGGGGGAGAGGGTACGAAAGGAGGTTCGGGTACGAAAGGTGGAAGGGCGGCTACGCGCAAAGAGAGATTGACTGTAGAAATTTCAAACGTAGTCCGGAATAGAGGGAGGAAGTAGCGCGCGAGAAGGGGGTCTCTCTCGCCTCTCTCGTATTCCCCGGCGAACTTTAAATATTTGAGACGCCATATATTTCCGGCGTTTTATATAACGTCCATAAAACATGCAAACGCACCGAGTAAATTACGCCGGGAACAAACGCCGCCAGGATACGTTACCGTCACGCGAGAGAGCCGTAGGAATTACAACGAAAGTTACGTCAAAAAGCTGCTGGCACTTTCTTTGCGCGCGGGGGCAATTCGCACAGAGCTGAGCGGTAGACGATTTGTTTCTTGCGAGGGAAATGGCCGCGATGCGAGTGTAATTTCTCTCGTTACTCCTACTTTCTCGTGAGTCGAATCGTAGAAAAACATTTTTTTTGTTTTTTTGTTTTTTTTTTTAATGACTCAATAAAGTTCCGATCTCTCGCGTAATAATTCGGTTTGGCGGAGCAATTCGGATTCGACGCGACGATAAAATTCCGTCAGACATACTTGTTTAAAAAATTTATGCGCGCCTTCCGAAAAATAATGTCGCCGTAATATATAACTTTTTTCTCTCCCGCGCGATTTTGATTCTGAGAGAGAGAGAGAGAGAAAAACGTTTCAATAACATTTTCTAATCTCGCGTGTAATAATAATTTGACGTAATCGAGAATTTTTAAGCGACGATAAAGCATCGCCGCTATAGACGGAACTCTGTATACACTGCACCTGTCAAATATATATTAATTTACGTCCGGCTAAATGTTTAAATACCGGACGCGCGCCGCTTAACGGCATTCCGTAGCGAGGTCGTATATCTTGCCTCGCGTCGGAGGAGGGGGGGGATGGGAGTCGCCGATAATCGAGATCCAAAGAGCGTTATAGTTGGCTTTAATGCCCGGGTATTCAAAGTGAGGTACAGTGTGTCCCGACACTCGACTTGGGCAGGTTCCAAGGTTCTCGCCGCCTCCTTGGCGGCGTGTATGTGTGCGCGCGCACACACAAATTCACACACGTGCCGGACGTTCGGGAAGGTAACCACTGCGCCCGGAGCTCCCATCTTGACGTGTTCATGCACCGGTCCTCTCGTAAACTTGTAGACCGCTCCCGCCGCCCCGGTCGATCCTCTCCCCCTCCCTTCTGTCTCTCATCTCGCTCTCTTTATTTGTTGCATCCTTCGTAAAAAATCTCCGAGTGGAAGATTCGTCGAACCACCCGCTAACCTTTTGATGTCCTTCCGTTTCTTTATTTAGTCTCCCTTTCCTCGCTTGCTGTTCGTTTTTCTTCAGCCTCCTCATATTCCTTCTTAGCGCAGCGTCCGATTTTCATCCGATCGTCTCTTTCTTTCTCTCTCTCTCTTTCGCGATCTTTTGCTCTTAAATCCCGATGCGACCGGCAGATACGACCTTTTACGGTCGGCCCGCCGCTTATCCCTTACTCCCCCTCCCCCGCCCCAGAGAGTAATAAGATCAAAAGGGCGGTCTCTCCGTGTGTCTCGGGGAAGAAGGCTCCTGTCTCGAGGGGCGGTCACGTTTCACACGGGACATACGAACGGAGAAGCGCGAATGAATAATTAGAACGAGAGCTTAACGGGCGAGAAAGGGGGTTTTTAACTCGTTGATTGTCAGAAGTGAATATATTTCGTGCGTGTCTCGTCTTCTATTCGTAAGAGAATTTTCACTTTTATATTTTGTTTTTTTTATTATCGTCATACAAATTAATAGAACAAAAATAATAAGAATTACGCGATTATGCTCACGTGTAATTGCGTAATTTTTTTTATTATTTTTATCCTGCAGTTTTAACGTTATTATAAGTGATTGCTTCGCGCAAACGTCTGTGCGTTTTTCTCGCAGACGCAAATTAAATTCCACATAACTTTTATTATCGCGCAACGATAAAGTTGTATCATGTTGAAACGGACTAATATATATATATATATACATATAAATAAATATATACATATACACACATATATGCAACGCAATTAGAACTTCGTGATTTTCGCGGAGCACGAACGAAATTTTTATTCGAGATGATTTATCGGACTCTCGGCCGGCAGATTATTTCACCACTCTCTCCGGTAAAACGGCCAACTACTCTGAAAAGTTCCCCTCACCCTCCCTCCCTTCCCCCTTCCCATATGATTGACGTAACTTTCGTTTATATTGCCCGCGTTATCATTCAGCGTTAGACACTGTAAAGTTAAATTAGAAATTTGATGAGCTCTTCAACGGTGTATCTCCGTCTATCGTGGAAAACGATGTGATTTCGCGCACAATTCGCGCATAACAATTCCGAAGTATTTCTATTCCGACGAGTTTCCTTTGTGAAACGTCACGCTGTGTGCGTCCCGACACGGTAATATCAATGATTAATGAGAAGGGTAACTGTCTTTCGCTCTTTGAAAACGTGCGCGATAAAGAAGAAACGAACGAAGAGGGGGGGTGGGGTAGAGGTGGGGAGGGAAAACGACGGACTCTCGCCGCATTTGTATTTGCCGTGGACCGAAAGGCACGACCGCGCGCGCGGTCATTATTTTCGCTATAACTTCGCGAAAGGGTGGGTGGTCCTGACGCGTTCGCGTACGTGTCCATTCGCGACGCGTATTTGCCTGGCTTTAAGATACTTCCATCGGTCCAATTTTCCGCAAGAATGTGACACGTAGCAATCTTGGTAACCTCGGGGCTGCGCCGCGCAATTTATTGGCCACCGAGTGCACCTTCGACGATTTATCTTCCCCCTCGTTCACCCCTCCAATCTCTTCTTCCTCCTCTTCGCCGTCACTCGCGCTATCTTCTCTTTCTTCATTGCCCTCTTTCTACCTCCCCCCCCCCCTCTCTCTCTCTCTCTTTTTCTGCCTTTTCGTTCTTCACCCGTCCTTCCCCCGTCTCTCGTTCGCTCTCCTTTTTCTATCCCGGCCGTCGCTCGCGATCGAGTTGAATCAACGCTCCGTGTGGCAACGTCACCCCCCTCTCTTCCTCGTCCGAACTTCGATATCTCAAACTTTCGACCTCCATATTTTGCGGTATCGACAGTTACCGGACTCGCGGCTCTGTGAATAATGTAATGCGCGATATTTTGCGGTATTCGTGCGCGCGCTCGACAGAATTTGCGAACGATTTTTCCCCCCGTATTCGTCGCAATTCGTCAGCGATCGGGAATAGGGAATCGTTTGTAAAACAAAAAATTTGAAGACCTCGAAGATTTTCGACATCAGGAAATAGATAAGCCGGGACCGGGACGCGCATCGGCGGCGAATTTTTTTAAGCGTTTTCGATGCGTGCCGACGAAGTGCACGTTCGCACGGCCAAAAAGGCAAGAAAATCGAGATCTGCAGGTGTAACGCCCGCAGCGACCGAGCGATAAAATGCACGCAAGCTCCGCTCGCGACGCGCGGGGAGAGGGCCGAAGGTAAAGAGGACCGTTCGCGCGATGCCTCGGGCTCGATAAAAAATGCAGTGATCACATTTCGGCAGAGACTTCGGAATCTCCGAACTATCTTGCCTTCTTTCGATTCTCACCTCTCTTCCCTCGGTCTTCTCTCTCTCTCTCTCTCTCTCTCTCTCTCTCCCTCTTTTTGCGATCGGCGATACCGAGCTCCCTCGCGCGGCATACGTATGGCCTTTAATATTTTTTTCGCGACGCTCTCTGATGTAATCGTTCCGCCCGAAAAATTGCCTCCGCTTAGGTGGATCAGCCCCGCGACCTACCCGAGTCAACGAACCGCCCGCCGATAGTTTCGGGCGATTTCGGAACGGCTGACTGCGCAAACGATCATCGATCGTCCGGATGATCCGGATCCTCGCTCGTCTGATTTCGCTTAGCGTAACGTGGTCGATCCCTCTTTCTCTCCGCAGTTGCCGATAATCGCGAGGCCTACTCGGTTGTTGCTCGACTTCTTCGTCGGTCCCGCGTTATCTCCGACGAACAATCTGAAGAAGAAGGCAGCCGCCACCGCCGCCGCCGCCGCCGCCGCCGACTCGCGGGGACTGAGAAACAAAAATCGCGTATTCGCCTCAGTCCTCGAATTACGCACAACAGGTGGTTTGCAAGTAAGTACCGGCGGAGATGCCCGCGCGATACGAATGCGATTTTCTACTTCGTTCATTTCCGACGAATTCGGTTCCAATGAATTGTCTCTTTGTGGTGAAAAATAATCGCGATCAATTTTGTCAAAATTAAATCCATCGTCGCGCGAAAAAAATTGTTTGATCGCTTTAAAAAATTTATCGCGCTCTTTAAAGATAAAAAAAAAAAACAAGCAAATGGAGCGATCTGAAAAATATTTATATTATATTCAAAGTTGTTTTTTAATCAATTAAATTTTTCACAAATTATTGCAATTAGATCGAAAAGTTTTTTACTTACTCGTAACCGCTGTTCGTTCCGTTACGTTCGGAAAATTGTGAGAAAACTAATATCGACTCGCTTGTGAACAAAAGGATATCGTTTGCCTTATCCTCGCAGCTCTGCCAATACGAGCGCAATCCAGTCCGAAACACCGACCGGCTGGTCGAGCTGCGACAAGTGTCGGGACGACATGAGGCTCATGCAGCGGCTAGCGATCAGCGGACTGCTGTCCGTGATCTTCATCCTGTTCCTGACGGGCGCGTTCGTCACGCGACGCGAGAATATCGTCGGCGTCGCAGTCGCCGATCGGGGCGTCGCGCCTGAAGAGCGCAGCAAGCACCCGAATCCGGCCTGGGTGCAGGACAACGCGGTGCCCGGTCAGGACGAGCCTAGAACCGAGAGTAGATTTAAGGATAAGACTCGACGTTTAGGCGCCAAACACAGACACGAATCGTCGGTGGTCGAGCCGCCGGTCGCCCCTAATCTGGGCGTTTACGTTATTAGACCGCCTAACCCTCCGCTGGACGACATAACAAATCAGCGTCGTGAGAAAGTCAAAGAGGTAAGATTGCATCGGATTTATTTTTGCATGCTATTTAGACTTAAGTTGACGTTGCATGAAGAGGTAGACGAGAAGAGAGGTAAGTGTTTTTTGTGTTATATTGTTTTATTTATTTATTTACATCACATATATTTATATGTTAGATTTTATTTTTTGGAAACGTACTACAATATAAAATATTGAAAAAATATAAATTGGAGAATATTTTATATGTGCATAAGACGTACACTTATTTATTTTTCTGTCACAATATTATTTTTTTCGTGCGTTTGGGAATAATTTGAGTTTGCGCGCGTTTTGTTTGCAACGCCAAAAACGCATTTTTGGACCGATATTTTTCAATATTCAATTTCCTGCATTTAAAGTATGTATTCAAACGTGTATGCAGAGGTTTTCGAAAACTCATTTTGTCCGCGCGCTCTGATTTTTGCCATTGCCACCGTCGTTCGTCACCGCGGTGTCACCGAGAAAGACGGAAATTAAAGAGAGAATCGTAAGGGAAAACCGATGGTTCTTTTGTTCGTTCTGTCACATCAATATTCGCGTTTGAATTACAGTGGGGCACGGGGGGGAAGGTGGAACGAAAACAGAAGAGAAATCTCCCCCCCTCCCCATTCGAGATGGCGCGGAATTAATGAAACAGAATTTTTCCAGACATTTTTGCGAAATCTGTTTGAAAAATTAAAAATGACAAAACTATATTACAAGTTGCGTTAAAATTGAAATTTATATTTATACGCGTTAAGTTTTGACTAATTCATTTCGAATTATTTTTTTAAAGTAGATAGATCTCGCGGTGAAATTTTTCTTCGCGCTTCGGTTCTTCGCGAGATTAAAAATTAATGTTTGCGAGAGCGCAAATTAATTTCGGCAATATGCAGTAGTGCGGCGGTGGAAAAACATTTGGCAATTTTTTCGTTCTGCATAGCGCGGCGAAATTAATCAATCGCGACGCAGCATGTGTTTGCTCCGCAGAAAATGGACAAACGTAGCTCGATCAATTAACTTCGAGCGACAGCTGCGAAAAAACGCCTGAGTGACAGATAACTGTCCGGTGAAGTGTCAAACTGGATTGAGCGACACGTGAGTGTGTCATGTTGCATGACGCAGCCGGTATGACTAAGTTGATCCGCAACCATCTCGCTTTTAAAATATAGAATTCGATCGGCTCTCTTGTCCCGCGTAGAGGATATCGTATTGTTTTGACTAACATCAAAAGACAAAAAATCCGCTCGACACTCTCAATGACCGCGTTAATTCGATCGTACCTGGGCCCTAAATCTTGAAAAATTTTCGTACACGAAACTCTACTTTTAATGTCACATGTACTTATAGACCTTAGTATACGCAAATTGTTCAAGAATCGAGGTTCTGTACCTTGTCGTAAGTCGCAACGAATATGGAAAATTCACAATTTGCGCGCGCGCGCGCATGTGTTTCGGAGAATTTGATTGTGACATTTTTGGCAGATTCGCAACATAGTAAATCGTTTGCGCTTTATTTGATACACAGTTACTGATAGTTTTTTGATATTTGTTTTATTTGTTTTCAATCAAAAAATGAAACATTTTCATCTCGTCAGTCTATTTGCAAAACATAGTATTCGCGCAAAACAATAACGAAAAGTACGATATGTACGTCGATTTATGTGCAAATTCGCGTTTTTTGCCGTATTTTGCGCTGTCGAAAAATATACCATAATAAAACAAATCAAAACACACACACACACACACACACACACACAAATATAATGTTGGTGACAAAAGTGCGGTCAACGTTTGTCGTTAGACTCGTTCAAGTCTGTTAAAACTTAATAACATTAATATTCAAATAACATTAACATTCGATTCGTTAAAACTTAATAACATTAATATTCAAATAACGTTAACATTCGGTTCGTTAAAACTTAATAACATTAATATTCAAACTACTCGGATATTTTCGAGCGCGCAACGGCAATTTCGAGTTTTCGGATCGCGAATCGATCTCGCGACTCTATTCGGATGTTCGGATTCTCGAAATATATCGAGTTCGCCGAATCGCCGGACTCTCGTGCCACGCGGTGGCGGTTGCGGCGCAATATTATAATAGCCTCTTCGCGACCAAAACCGACTTATAGTTTGATAACGCTCGACTCGCAAGTTATCCGTAGGTACATCGTCCGGAGGCGCTCATTCCAAACGAAGCAATTTACCGACGGACTGGCATAACTTACGAAACGACCGCGCGCCACCGTTCAAAATGGATTTCAATTAAGCGCGCTTATCGCGCGTTCCGCTTCTCCTCGTCTCGCGATATGCGTTTAATTGCGCGCGCGCGCCTCGGAAAATCGCCCACGCGCATCACACGTGAGGAAAAACCGTTCGATTTCGATCGCTCCGGAGGAGAAAAGTCGCGTCCGGGGTGGGGAACAAAAAACAATCGCGCGCATACGATTTACGAGCGTCGAGCGATGATTTTCCTAATTACGTAAGAGTGTTTCACGGTAACGATCGTAAACTTAACGACTCATAATTGGCCTCGTAAACCTTAAAGACTCTCGCAGCGAGAGGGACTTTAAAAGAGTATTCCCGCCGCGCGTTTAGTACTTCTGTTTAATTATATAGTGCGTGAAGAAACGGGATTCTCTCTTTCGCGTGGTGTAGATCGCGCATTGTTCGTGACGTTTTATTTCGCGCTCGTGTCACGCGCTACGTCGTCGAAAATTCGTCGACAAGGTCGCGACGATTCGTGATTTCAGACGAAATGAGAAATCGGGCAATATCGCCACGCGCGTTTTGTGAATAATTCCGAACGGAGAAACGTGGGTAGCCATCAGAGGCTAATTGTTTTTAGCCCGAGCTAATGCGGTAGGCGTGACCCGGCCATTATCATGCCACGGAGCGAACGCTGATATAAACGCTCGCGTATTTTTCATGCCCGCACGTTTAAGGCGTTTCTCCGCTGCATTTAATCGCGCGCGCATATCCGATATTAAATTTTCACCCTCTCGAACGTGGAATAATCGTCACTTCGATCGCGAGAGCTATTTTAAGGCAAAATAAAAAAAAAAAAAAAATCGCGCGGCGAGCGGAGCATTTGTTCACGAACGGGAGTTTAATTACTTTCGCTTTTTCTAATTGCTTTCATTTTGTTTCATATTTTACACACGTAATTCAAACGGATAAAAAAAAAAAAAAAAAAAAAAAAAAATGTTTGACAAAAGACATAAATATTTTAGTAATTTATTGTGTAACGAAAAAATTGTTACTTTCAATTTTTCTTCGAGTTTGGGAATGCGTTTTGTTTACACACACTTGCGAAGAACGAAACTAATTTCGAATAATGTTTAATCCGCTGTGTGTGAAGTTGATAAACTCTTTTTTCCTCCTGCGGCAACATGTTGCGCACCGGATTTTCAATCATGTCGAATCGCACGGTCATTGTTCGGCGCAAGCCAGCGGAATTGTAGCCATCGATAACGTTCTCTCTCTCTTCCCTTCTCTCTCTCTCTCTCTCTCTCTCTCTCTCTCTCTCTCTCTCGAAACTTTGAGTGCTTCGTCGCGATAGCGTCTGGGTAGGATGTATTTCCCTTTCTCGCGCGGATTAGCGCTTTACACAGATCCCGGAAATTTCGTGGGAGGATCACGTGGCGTGCGAACGGCATATAGCCGACGGAAGTCCGACAAAGTCGCATTGTCTATCGGATCGGTACAAGTTGGGCACAATGGTGGTAGCTTCCTTTAATGAAAGATTCTAGTTAAGGGCGGTAACAGCGGCGGCGGCGGCGGCGGCAGCGGCACAGCAGGGATAAGATAATGATGAAAGTACCGGAGTTCGCGAAGCAGTGAAACGAAACGACCGCCTCTCTCTCTCTCTCTTCCGAAGCTCTATCTTTCATCCGCGCGTATCTCGCGGGGGAAAACGAGGAAGAGAGATGTGGGGATGTCGGTTTCATCGGTTTTCTACTTAGCGAAGATTAATTCGCGTTACTCGCGAGAGGCTCTCGTGCAACACAGCGCTCGCCAAACAATGATAAACAAGCTTCGTAATTACGCCAAATCCGCGCTCAAGACGTCCACGTCGCGGAATTGCGGAATTATTTCAGTTTGCTTCATTCGTTCGTGCGGTGTCGTTCTCTGTCTCTTTCTCTCTTTCTCTCTCTCTCTCTCTCTTTTCGCGGCTCGCTCTCGCGCGATGCTCGTAACTCGTCTTCTTCCCGCGCGACGTCTCAGAAGCTTCCGTCTGAAGCGTATGCATATCGCGGTTTGTTTGTAACTCGTTGCTTCCCGAGCGGGTTTTGTACATGTGCCAGGAGAGACGAGCGGAATTTCCTTACAACGTCCTTTTACGTCTGCGGTTCTCATAGCGTGTTGCCGGTTCTCGTGCTTTCTCTCTGTCTCTCTCTGTCTCTCTGTCTCTCTCTGTCTCTCTCTCTCTCTCTCTCTCTCTCTCTCTCTCTCTCTCTTTCCGAGATGTACACGCAACACGTTGCATGAATATGCATTCATACTTCTTTCTTACGATGTGCTTGGTTTCAATTATGCAACTGCGACAGTGTGCTCGACTTATCGCGATATTTGTGCGCGACGCCGCTTCGACTGTAATACGTATACATATCTTATCTGGTATACACGTATAATGTATAATGTATAAAACATACAAACGCGAAAGAAAGAAAATCTCAAATATTAGATATAACGAGTATAACGCATTTTGTTACGAGAACTCGCAGTTTCTCGCGCGATAAAACGTCGTGTTTTATGTCATAAATAAATTTTCAGCTTACTCCGTTCTCACGACGGACGCGACGTTCCGTGTCGCTGAGATATTCGCACGACTGAGTTTTACACTCGCGGAAATACGATGATTTTATTACACTCGCGTTTTAATGAGAGATCCGGTGACGAGCAAGTGTCATAACTCAGCGCGTCTTTTGCCGCGCGATCGTCGTCGAGGAAACCGTCTCTTCGGTTGATATCTTCTTAAAACGCGATTCTCGCGACGAGCATAATTAGAAGGGATCGTTAAATATGAAACCAAGTAATATTTCAGTAAAGACAACTGAGAGTCGTCTCAGAAAAAAATAAAGAAGAGAGCAATTGTTATCGCACAAAGGAGAAGAGATCCGATTTTGGATTTCCCTTCAAATTTTATTCAAACTCATGAAAATCTATGTCTTGAAGTCAATTAAATTCAATTTGTGTGAGTGATTCCAGCTTAAACGGAACTTTGATCATTTTTTTTAGAATTTATTGACATGTATTGTGTCAATTCTAATATGTAAGAGCGTCGGGGTCAACTGCAAAGAAAAATGAGAAAACTCTCTTCCAGAATGATTCAGATCATTTTCCAAAACGATTGTCATGATTTTTTCGATACAACATCAGATGTTCAAAATATTGATATTTCTGAAGCAAATATTATAAAATAACACCACCGCGCTAAATGTTCCGTTTAATCTGAGTTTAAAAACAAAATTTGAAGGGAACCAAAATCGACCCTTACAAAGCAGGAGGATCTTCTTTATCGACACGTACAATCGAAATGAAAAAAGTGTCTGAATTGTTTTCCTCTCGCGTTCTTCAGAACTTTTCAAGCTGTATTTTTTTTTCTCTCTTGAATTTTCTTTTTCTTCAGCGCTCTTCACGTATTTGATACTCTCATTCTCTCTCCCTTCTCTTGTTTGTTTACCTCTTCTCCATTAAATATTAAGTTTTCCCCGTGTCTCGACCAACTCTTTCTCAAAGGTTACATGTAAAGCACGTTTCTCGTTGCGCATGGCGGCAGGCGCGGTTAGATTTTTATGACGTGCGCGTTTTTAAAGGGCTTCGTGACGTCGATCCTGCCAAGCTCTCTCGTGCCGTGCGCCGCGGGTAAAAAAAAAAGGAAAAAGAAAACAACAAGGATATCGTGTGTAAACAGGAGTCGTTTGTGGTGGTGTTGGTTCTGAAAACGCGCCCCGTGCATCTGCACGCGCGCACGCGCGTGTGTGTGCGTTGATGAGGAAGGGTCGGGGTGGGGGAGGGATTGCTTTCACAAAATCACGGTGGGACGCCGACGCGGCAGGACGACTGGGACCGCGCGCTCGTGTGGTGGGCAATAAATAACGTAAATTGAAAACCGCGGGAAATAAAGAGAGAAAATAATAAAAAAAAAATATAGAAAAAAAGCGTCACGGTTAAGTACACTTATACCGGTATCGGCGCGCGATACACGTCTATCGGCCGCGCGGTGCGTTTGTGTGCCGCATCTCTTCCCGGGAGTATCCCAAAGCTCTTGCTTTGTTTGTGCGCTATGCATACTCAATCGCTCTGACGGAGAACTCGCTTCTCTTCTTTCTCTCTCTCTCTCTTTGCTTCTCTATCTCGTTGCTCCTTTTCCGCCTGTTTTTCCTCCCTTTTTCATATATACATATATATATATATATATAGTGAGCGCATTTTGTTTATTAATGGAAATGCGTGGAGCGCAGGCAATTTGAAAGGATATTTTCTCTCTGTCTCGCGCGAGGGAGGCGGAGTTCCCGCGAGTGCCCTGTGCAGAATTCATATCGTCTGCGAATCCCGCCGCGGTTTTGTCTACATGTGTGTGCGAAGGCGCGCGAAATATAATGAATTTATTCGTAAGCTCGAATGAATCCGAGATGGGAAATATGCATGAATCCCGAAATATAAAACTATCCTTTTTTTTTTTTTCTGATAACTCCGGAATGTTATAGTCCGCGGACTTACCGAGCTAATGCCACGAAAAACATTTAAACCGCCGCCGGTGCGACGTATCTGTGTACTTTCGAATTGACGAGTGTATCGAATATACGTTTACAATTTCGCCTGACGGACGAGCGCGCGGATATTCCAAAATCGCTGCGCGCGGCTGAACAAATAAACATAAAAATTGTACCACGTTACCGATTAAACGCACTTCGCGATTCGCACGCTCGGCGCGTCGCTTTTTTTTTGCGCCGGTGCTTACCGGCGAACCGCATTAAATGGCTTTTTTTTTTTTTTGTTTTTTTTAATGGATTACTCCTTGGGATTACACAAAGACGAAAAAAGGAACGCGGTCTTCCGGACGAATCCGGGGAGCAAATCCGGTTACCGCGGAAGTGACGTAACAAAGGGAGAATAATTGAACGAAGCCACACGTCCGACGCGAGGTTTTGCCTTCGTTCACCTCACCCGTCTCTCTTTCTCGCGCGCTTCACCTTTCTCGCTTCTCTCTTCGCCATCCCCTTTTCGATCCCCCGTCGACCGACACCGAGGCTAATGGTTTAATCCTAACATGGATGTTAACCAGATTACCGGCTACAAGTCCCGCCATGCGCTGTGCATTCGCCGCGGTTTCCACGGAACAAATTATCCGCGATTACGTGGATAATGGCGAAAGGCGTTGAATTCCGTCGCGACGCGACGACGCCGCGTCAACTCGCGATCGTTCTCTGCAATTTTCTGCATCGCCAGACTCCGCCTTCTAAGTCGATGGTAATAACGCGTCGTCGTTCTTCGGAATTTCGCATCTTTATCGCGCGACGCACACGGCCCGCATCTCCTTCACTTTCGCGGAAGTTATCGCGCGAACTTTATCTTTCCTCGATATCACAATGATTTCGCGCTTTATTCGATTTTTTTTAATTAAATATCCTCGCGTGAAAACCGCGCGATTATCTTTTCGATAATCTCGCGATTTTCTTCGTTACGAAAAAAAAAAAAAAAAAAAAAAATTCAAATCGATCCGAATTCGTGCGGCCGACTCGCAGCTGTTGTCGAGTGATACGCATTCGTCTTTCACTGTCATTCTCCGTTCTTTCTCTTTCTCTAATTTTCGTTTTTTTATTTTTTTTTATAACGGAGCGAAGCCCGGGCGAGATAGGGGCCACTTGTGACGGTGCCACCGGCCAGGTCTTCTCGATATTATATTGCCCCTAAATTATGCCGTCATAAAAACGTGATGAAGCGACCGCGAGTGCCCGGGGAAATGGTTCGAAAAATCAAGGGGAACGGAAATAACGGTCAACGAATGGACAGACTCGGGCGATATATTTGTTATTCACGCAAACGAACTCACGCCGCGCGTCCGTCACACTTTTGTATAGACACTCCGCGTATAATTCTTCGCACGGGAGTCCGACTCTCCGCGCATATCATTAATCGCGGACAAATTCCAAACTCCTGAGACATCGATGTCTCTTCCAAAAAAAAAAAAAAAAAAACTAAATTTTACAGATGCATTCTAAACGCACGAAAAACCTTCAACAGTATGTTAATTTTGAATAAATTAACAAGATAAATTTATTTTTTTTCAGAAAATTTTATTTTTGCTCAAAATTGCAACAAGAAATATTTTGTTATATTTTAAATTTCTGAGATCAATGGTATGGACAAAAGTACACATTTTATAGAAATTGTCTTTTGCGCACAAGATGAAAAGTTTGCTCGAACTTTTCTGTTGACAGATGATGAAGCACGGCTGGGACAACTATGTGCGTTACGCCTGGGGGAAAAACGAACTGCGACCGATCTCGAAGAGAGGTCACAGCGCCAGCATCTTCGGTGCCTCGAACATGGGCGCGACCATCGTCGACGGACTCGACACCCTTTACATCATGGGTCTTCACGACGAGTTCAAGCAAGGCCGCGACTGGATTGCCGAGAATTTGGACTTCGATATCGTGAGTACACACACACACATGCATGCGTTCTTTCGTATAACTCGCGTATGATACTTTTATCGACGAGATAACCTCTGAACACTGAGCAGAGGTCGATATTACGCAGAGTTCGATTCTGCGCGAAAATAACGATTTACCGATAAGTCTCACGAGACATTTCTTTTAACGACATGAGCCGCAATATAAGTAAATTAAATTTACTATGCTGTGTGAAGATATATTCGCGAAATCAGAATTCTTCTATACAACGAATTCTTTTACGAAGACGTAAGTAAATTAAATTATCATAAGGAGGAGAATTCATGAACTTTCCGGAATCGATAGAGAATAATAATCCCCGGTTCGTTTCGCGATACCGTTGCGATCGGGGAAGATATATTTTCGCGATATTCGTGACGCGACGGATTTAACGTTGCTTTTAATAAATTGCCCATCTCGTGATCATTTTAATTCTTTTGTGTGATTCAAATGACGTCATCTCATCCGCTTGACGAGGAAAAAAAAGGTTTTTTTCTTCGTGTCACAGGGCTTTGTCCTCTCTCTCTGCTGTCAACAAAAATTATGAGATAAATTTTGTCTCGTTAAAATTTGAACGTATTTAAATATATTCTCAAAAAAGTGTGACAGCGTTCTCAAAAAGTTACGCGTGTGTGATTTTATTGTGTATTATTATTTAAAAAAATATTTTATATATATTGTACAAACCTCGTGCGTGTCATGTGTGTCGACGACGAAATTGCGAAGCGCGAAAATATTTCTCTTGCCTCTATCTGATGGAGAATTTTCGCGGCTTTTCTTTTCACGGTGCTGCGAAGGTCAGATGATGTCTACCTAAGTGGAGGAGTATCACGATGAAAGTTCCGACATTCAACGACATGCGTCGAAACCAATTTCGTCCTGAGTCAACTTACCTGACGCAGCCGTGTCATCGTCTCCTTTTTTCGTGGATCCCAGCGCGGAGGCGAACTTTTGATATAGGCTCGCGTCTGCATACACTATTCCTCCTCTCATCCTCCCATCCACCCCTCTATGCTGTCGTTTTTCCTTTACTTTTTCGTTATCGAATACGTCGGAAATGTGTTTGCTCTGCCGAAGGAAGTCCTGACGAGACGTCGAAGACACCTTTCGATTTTCTCTCGCGACGCGACCGGATCTATTCAGATAAAATGTAATAAGGAAGTGGAAGAGAACATCCATACACATGAACACACACACACACACACATACACGCACACGTGAAAACAGAGTGCGAAAGCTTAATCGAGCGATCGACTCTTAATGCGGCTCGAAAGTGAAAAAATATAAAGTGCTTATTTTTTACAGTAATTTTCTGATCGCAGTTTGGGCAAATGCATTTAAAAAAAAAAAAAAGCAAGAACTTTTAAACTAAGAAGTTTTACCTTTCACTCGAGATAATTCCTCCCGGAAAATCACGCGAAGTTCTGAAATCGTTTCTCTTTGTCGCCGTGACCTTGATTGTGGAGAATGAAAATCTTATCGGCGAAAAGGAAGACACACACCGGCGCTCACTGAAATATTCCGAATTTCCCGTCCAACGTTTCCCCGATAAAATATCACGGCGGACCACTTTGCAGGAAATTGTCAGCTTAAAACTGCAACATGTAAAATATTCAATTGCCACTTCGATTTTCTTCTCGTCGCAAATTCACTCGCCTAGTTTACTCGGCTATGTATGTATACATAATTCACGACTGTGTCGCGGGATCATTTATGCACTTACGAAGTTCGAAAAGTTTTAATGTAATATGCTTGATAAAAATCTCCGAAGCATTTATCGGAGCATTTAAGTTTATTATTATTATTTTTTTCAAATATCAGTAAAGATGCTTGTGAGGCTATATCCGACCAATGTACAATGGTGTACTTGTGTATGTTTATTTGATAAAACAAATTAATTTTCAGACGCGTTTTGATTCTATATTGAACCTTCTTCAGTATTCTAGTACAGGATGTTATAAAAGATGGTAACAATAGAGCTTGAATGACACAAAGTTATTATACACACAAGATTATATTACAATTGCAATCACAAGATTTGATTAAAAAGCTGAGTAACTATTATTTTTTTATTTCTGATTTTTTTGTTACACACTTGATCATTTACACTGGAAATACGTTTCCGCGAAGTAATTGCTAAAATATTAATTAATCACACACATGCATGTACGCAAGATGTAAAGGTGGCTGTAGTGAATAATCGCTTTGTTTCTCAACTTTGTCGGGGCAGGCATATTTGTTTATCGAAAACGCGTTGTTGCAATTAAAGTATACGGGTATAGTTTTTTCAGCGGGTAACGGGGAAATGTTACGTTTCAAGGAGCTCTCTCTCTCTCTCTCTCTCTCTCTCTCTCTCTCTCTCTCTCTCTCTTTCTCTCTCTCTGACAACAGCACGTTTAAGCGCTTAATTAACTTAATCGTTATGTAAATCGATGCCCGCGGTATTTCTCTCTGTCGAGTGCGTGCTGGAAGAATAAACTTGAGCGTTTTCGCGTGGCAGTTTACCGTGGAGTAAAGTACCGGGGAGCCAAGGAAAGTTAGTTCGGCTTATCCGAAGTTGGTAACAGTCTCCTTCCCGCTCCACCTATCCCGCGCCCCCCTCCCCCCGTTTCAACCAACCCCTTGAATTCTTCTCTTACGTCGGATTTCTAAGTGGATAACTTGCCGTATTAGCTGCTTTTGGCTCGCGGTAACCGACGTGTCAACCGTGTTAGAAGTTATTGTTTCGCGCGCGGCTGTTTCGCTCCCGAGAAACTCTTTACGTGTGCCTCACGGTTTTGCTCCCTCCCTCTTCCCCCGCAACGATGCAAAATTACACATCCGGGAAACATTAGACGCGGTTTCTCGCGTCTCTTATCTTCCCGAATCCAGAAATTCGTTCGCTTGTTCTCTTTTTAGAATATAAAGAAAAGAAACAAAAAACAATATCTCAATCCAAGTCGCTCGTTCGCATTGCAAATATTGTACATTGCGTCACAGCAAAGTTACTTAGCTTTTTAATCAAATCTTGTCGGGGAAATTGTTTTGCATTTGTTATTACTTACACACACAGAGAGAGAGAGAGAAGATAGTATCGTTAATTAGTGCTTTAAGAAATAGACAAGAGAATGAGAACAATCTTGAGGACACCCCGTATATTCCTCTCTTTCTCGCGCGCGCGCGCGCGCGCACGCGTTCAATAACAACGATAAGAAACGAAATTAAAAGGCGGCGCGGCAACGCGATTCATCTCGGTTTATTCGCGTCCGGTCAGCGAAAATAAATTTCAATGGCCGATATGAGGCCGAAGGAATAGCGTGGCAATATATATCGCCTTCAATGAGATTTATACAAGAATGAAAACGGCGCGCGGGGTTTTTTTAGCCAGGCGCGACCGGCCGAAAGTGGGAACTCGGGGGGATCATGAACGGGTTATATGGACTTGTCCGCGATTCGGACGGGCGATAAATTCGGGAAGGAAGCCGCGCGTCTGCCCTCTTCCCGTTCCCCCGAAGAGGGAGTCCAACAGCCTTCGAGTGCAAAACGACGACTCGCGGCGTCGCGTATTATGCGTTCGAAGGGGGAGCGGAATGCCGAGGTCTGCCGAATCCCGAGTACCTGACGCCCCTGCGTATTCTCGCGTTAATATACGCGCAACCTCGCGGGTATATAAAGCGAGAGAAGCGGGCGAGGCGCGTCGCATTTTATGCGACAATGTAACGCCGATATGTCTCGGTGCGAAAAGAAAAACGCACTCTTGTGTTATTCTCACGCAGAGGGAGAGAAAGATATAAATCTCGATAACACAATCATTGATGTTTTTTCATTAGATCGCTATTGAGAAATACACGAGAGCGATATATTTTTCGGTCTTTAAACACGCGACCTTCTCCGCAAGTACGCACTAAGGTAGCTCTTATTTTCGACTCTTGAATTTTTTCGCGACACCTTCTATAGAACGGTTTTATTTGCTAAAAACTAATCTGTGAAAAAGTTCCTGCCCGATCGGATAAGAAAAAAAGAAATCCCCGGAGGGACTTAAAATGAAAAAAATTATTTGAATGCATAATGAATTAATTTTATTTGATTAATTCAATAAAATCGATTTAAGGGAAATAATTGTTAAATAATGTTTTAAATACTTTGTTTAGATCTACAACTTTTATTTATCATGTTTTTCGAAATAATCAATAAATTGGAAGATAATCAAATAAAATCGATTCATTGTGCATTTAAATAATTTTTGTAGAGGCCAAGGGACTCTCTTTTCCTTGTCCGATCGGACTGAACTTTTTTACAGATTAATTCTTTAGCAATTGGAATCGTTCTCGGAAGTGCTGTGAAAAAAAGTAAACAAACAATTTTCATCAGGAGATTTACCTTAGTACGCGCACGCGTACACTTGTTTGTTGCATCTCTCGCGCATTTGCATTTGGCATCAACAGGCACACACACACGCATCTTCTCTTTTTTTCTCTCAGTAATCATGCGATATTACAAAAACATTTTTGACCCGCGGGCATCTTCGTCGGTCTGCGTATACACGCGTGAAAAATCCGTATACGATTTTAATTTTGCCAACTTTCACATCGCAGTTGCCGTCTGAAAAATGATGCGATTTTGTTTTGCGTGGTTCGCACTGGTGGTCGGAAAACTATCCGCGGATAAAAGCCGCGCTTTTTAGCGGCGCGCGCATGGTTGCGTAAATCTGTCGCGCGCGCAAAAATGAGCGTGTATTTTTCTAAATCGCATTGAGCTCCGCTCTCGCGGACTTTTATTTGACTCCGCAATAATTTGCGTTATTTGTTTAAACGTGATAACAAGATTTTGGTTTTAATCAACTTGATTCTTTATTCACAGTTCTTTTTCAAACAAAAATTCGCGCGCGCGACATTTCATTGTTCATTTGTGTGTGACGTGTACACACGCTTCTGCTATTTCCCGCGCGATTTTATTCGCTTTCGACAAAGCGCGTCGATCGTTGGCTAACGTTTTCGCGACAGCGATCGGCTCTCATCGATGACCGTTTGGAAGAACGAGCATTTCGGCCACGCACGAATCGATGTGTGTATATATCAACGCTATTCATCGATATATCGAGTAAACGCGCTTGGTAGGCATGCAACTAGCTTTCCGAGAACGGGACGGAAGGAAGGAAGGATGCTGAGATATGCGAGATGCACGTAACGCACAGTTATGCCCGGCCTCGTCTAACAGCGCTATTGCTATGCTCGGCTATAGACGAGGAGACGCGCACGTCACACACAACGAGGTCGATCTCTCTCCCGTCTAGTCTCGTCTAGTGTGCACGCCGTCACGCGTGTAACGCGCTCGCTTCTACGCGCGCGGGTGAGTGATGTCCCATACAGCTGTTGCGCTCCAAAAAGTTCGCTCGACCGGGATTCCTGTAAACGCCCCGCTCTTTTCGAATCGGCGCCCGCGGTTAGCGCAAATCGTTGCGAATGTTGCATCGAGTTTGCGTAAAAATTAATTATTTTGGGAAATATTTTATTTAATTTGGAATATATCTGTTAAACATTTTATATTCGCGCGCGCGCGCGCATATATTAAAATTGCTGATACGGTTCTTAATATTTTTAAAGAAGTTTCTCCAAAAAGTAAATTCAAAAAATTGCGTGTACAAAGATCTTCGCAAAATGTTTTTTTGTTGTACTTACAAATATGAATTGTTGACACTTGTACTTTCACGTAACGGCGATCTGCATTCCTTGACGGCTTGGAGAGCAATGGGAAGCGACATGAAAATCCGAACATGATTGCGCCTGCATTGCACAAGTGCCGCATGTTACATAAATTATTTATATCGGTGAAAATTGCATACATCTGTGTAACCTGTTATTTGTATAAATCGCGGTCATTTTCTGTCTTTACGT